GGCAGCGTCTATGCATCTGCAATTGTAACTATTGCATTTATTTTTTGTCAATTTGTCCAATATATCATTTCATTCAGCGGCCGCCGAACTAGCTTCATAGTGGTACTCTCGGTCTCTTAAGCTGGATGAAGATAACTAAAAAGCCTGTTTTTTACTGCAACTTAAATGTGAAACAAAGCTATAAATCAAGATGAAAAAGAAGACAAATCTGTGAAAATTCGGTACTGGTGCTTAAATGGCGCGCCGATTGCGCCGATGAAAAACGTCGGCGGCGCGGCCAAGGAGGATAGCGATAGCGTGGTTCAAAAGGACTTGTGAGAAATACTACACAGACTGGGTGTGGAAGATGGAGTCACTAATCCTTTAAAAGAAATCTATAAAAGTAACAAGGTAGTTATAAATTGGGAAAAACAGGTATTGAAGCCCACAGAGGTGAAACGGGGACTTAGGCAAGGGTGTCCACTGTCACCCTTGTTATTCATGATGTACCTACAAGTATTAGAAGCCAAATTAGAGGGAAGTGGACTTGGCTTCAACCTCTCTTTAGTCAAACAAGGAAAACTCATTGATCAGGCACTACCAGTATTAATGTAGGCAGATGATATAGTGCTAATGGCCGACAACAAGGAAGATTTGCAGAGATTTTTGGACATCTGCGGTAATGAGGAAGATAGGTTAGGTTTCAGATTCAGTAAAGAAAAATCAGCAGTCATGATTTTTAATGATAATGAAGGTTGTGAGCCTAGGATACAGGAAGTCATGCTAGAGATAACCGATAAATACAAATCTCTGGGCGTATGGATAAGCAATGGGACCGAGTACCTAAGGGAACATGAAATATACGTGAGCACTAAAGGTAACAGAAATGCAGGAGTGATGAAAAATAGGGCACTGTGGAATTACAATAGGTATGATGTTGCGAGAGGAATATGGAAAGGGGTCATAGTTCCTGGTCTTACGTTCAGCAATGTGGTCTTGTGCATGGGATCAGAAGTTCAAGCATGATTAGAAATTAAGCAAAGCGGAATAGGTAGGCTTGCCTTAGGAGCTCACGGGAATACACTAAATAAGGGAGTACAAGGTGATATGGGATGGACATCATTTGAGGGCAGGGAAGCTAGCAGCAAGATAAAATTTGAGAAGCGATTGAGAGAAATAGGGGAGGAGCGTTGGGCTAGGAAGATTTTCAGCTGCTTGTACATGAAGAATGTTGATACGAAATGGAGGAAGCGAACCAGAAAATTGATAGGTAAGTGCTTAGTAAACAGCTGGTGGCCAACTAAAAAATAAGTATCGATTAAGAAGAAAGTGAAGTAAACGGAGACTGACAAGTGGAGAATTGGCATGATTAAGAAGTCTGCACTAGAGATCTATCGAACTTTTAAGCAAGAAATTGCCAAGGAAAGGTTCTATAATAATATTCAGGGTAGTTCTCTACTGTTTGAGGCAAGGACGGGAGTACTGCGAACAAAGACATATCTGGCCAAATACGAAGGGGTAGACACAGTATGCAGTGCGTGTGGAGAGGAAGAATAAACTGCCAAACACTTGATAATGTTCTGTAAAGGGCTTCACCCTATAGTTCAGGATGACGGCGCAGAGTTTTTCAAAGCACTGGAGTTTAGGGACAGGGAGGGCAAAGTAGACATTAAGCAGGTAGAATTAACTAGAAAAAAGTTATTTAATTGGTGGCTAAAGTCAAGGCACGAGTGAAAATAAACCCTTCACTGCAAAGTAACAGATCTCAACTTCACTATTTAAAGAAAAAAAAAAGACAAATCTAGTGGTTACTTTATTATGCCTAGGTAGCATTAGCTGGCGCCTGATCTAAAGGGTACAGCCACATCCATCCATCCATCCATCATCTCCTACTCTATGGCTGTTTGGACAGCGCTTGAGTAAGAACACCTGCATCCTGTAATTAACTACCTGCATATGTGTGACTATTTCTTCAACCTTAGAAGGCTGGTTAAGTGAACTGTACAGAGCAGTTAAGCATTTATTGCAGACTAGGTTTACAAACTTGGAAAATTTTAGACTTGCATAATGTAGGACAGCTTATGTAATGTTGCATCCGATCAATTGCTAAGGATTCCTGAATAACTTTTAGTATAATTATTTAAAACTATTTGACATTTATGAATAATAATTATGCAATATCAGTACTGTGTTGGCCGAAATATGACCACGAACACTGAAACTGACGGAAGTGAATAGGTGACAACTAGCGCCACGTGGCTCGTAGATTACGGGCCTAGCGATTTAAGGTACAGACTAGATGTGGGCACTGGAGATGGTCTATCTGGACAGGTCAGGAGCACAGTATAAGTCGTGCCCTCAAGGGGGGTAGAGTGGCTAGAATGGCATGAAGTGCTCCTCACGTAAGGTAAGGAAATTGTGTGAGGTGCTTGTGAGTGTGCCAACACCCCCTGTGAAGGAGTTCGTGCCTCGTGGCGTGTGTGTCTTGTGCAGAGGCCGCATTCAGGAGTCGCAACTGAAGAGCGATGGAGGGTGTTGTGCTTGCGAGCGTGTACTACCGTCATCATCATAGTAAGTTCGAAAACACCGGCGGTGATGCCTCACAGCAGGCCTGGTTGGCAGCACACAAGAGATGAGTGGGTCTCTTTGGCGGGTGGCGGTTAGCGCGAACGGTTCTCTCTATCGTTGGGTCCGCGGTACCGCAGGTCTGCCGTGGGCCCTCGTGGTGAGTCGGGTGTTGGCGAAGCCACCTTGTATGTGTTGAGTGTTGTGCAATTTTGTGTAGGGCAGTTTTAGCGTGTTGGTCACAGCTGATGTGTGTTAGCTCGGCTGGCAATACCATTGTTCTTGAAATAGTTGAATAAATGTGTGTTGCTTGGTTTGTTTTGACCGCGTCTACTGCGTTCGTTCGCTCCAAGAGCGTGGCGCTCTTTAGTGCGAGACCCCACACTGGCTGCCTAATATGAAGCTTTTGGAGCATCGAACGTCAGTTTTTGCAGTTTGGAACAGCCATTTTTTTTTAGCTGGGGAAGAGTAGGCCTCGGGGAACTTCCATTGCTAGCATCAGCGGTGTGCTTTGTTGAGAGCGAAAAGATCAGTTTTTGTGTCATGTTTGAACTTGCCGGCAGGTTGAGCTTTTATTTTTTCTGCTCGCAACTGTTTTTTTGTTCTTGGATCAAGAACGTTGAGTTGATACGAGAGCCACGCGGTCTGCATTTTGGGGTTAGCAAAGCTCAGAGCATGTGGATTGTAGGCCAAGCCCGAAGTGTGTGAGTATGGAAGCCTCGTGGGTGGTCCGATTTTTCGTAAATAGCTTTTATCTTTTTCAGGCTCAGAGAGTCTGGCGTCGTTGCTGTCTTGTCTTGCGGCTCGATGCCGGGGCGTCGTGACACCGTTCGGGACAATGGGCACCGATTGCTCGGTAAGCTGCTGTGTGTGGCGAGCGAGTAGGGCAACCCTACAAGGTGAATGTGGCTGCCTCTTCTGGACCTGGGCTGGGTGGATGCTTGTTGCTGTCGAGCGACTCATTAGGCCTAAGGCTCTGCACAGCTGCCTGTCGAACGTGGCACAACTAGGTGGATCGCGGTGTTGAGGTGTTGCACTCTGCTTCCCTCATTTTTTAATCTTGCGAAGCACGAGTTAAGAAAAGTGACCTTTATTTTATTTGCGCTGGGCGTCTCGGCAGCCATCGATGTATTTGCTAGCAGTATTTACCATCGTACCACATGGGCAAGAAGCTCCAAGCTCCCTTCCCTTTTCCTTACTGCATTGTTCTGCCGAGTGTTTTGGAATGTACGTAGCGGGAATGATGTACACACACTTTCTTGGCGTCCGTCGAACACTTATTCTGATGCCATGTTGCAGTACTGCCCCCGGGTCAGGGCGGGCACACAGACAAGCGTTGAAGCCCCACTCCTTATTTACTGTGTGAACATCTTTCATAGCCCCAGTAAAGGAAGCAGTTACACCAGTCACTGAGCATGACTGGTGTAAACATTATAATCGCGACATGCGTGTCATGTAAGAAAATGGCAACATACTGTACTCACGATGTGCTCGTGGCATTTCGCTAGCTCTACATATACCAAATTCGGTATCACTTGACGTGAACAGAGGACAAAGGTAAGTGACAGGTCCAAACATGATAATGTTGATATGCATGTCATGTAAAACGTGAATAAATTCTACACTCATATGCCCTCGTGGCCATTTCGCTGGCTCCACATATACCAAGTTTGGTATCACGTGATGTTAATTGACGACGAAAATAATTGAGATGTCTAAACATAATAATCAACATAATAGTCAAACTAATAGTCATAATAGTCATAGCCCAAGTGAGGGAAGCAGTCTAGGAGCAGGGCACCCTTAGGGCAAATAGCAGACCACGTCGATGCGTTCCAACGCGAGTCCTCGAAACGCTGTTCACGTTCGATGCAACGCCACAAAGACTTTCACACCATTTGTGGACTATCTCCGGTCGTTGTGTTGTTTGGGATTATTCGAAAGTCGCACGTTTCGTTCATGCCAGCGGCAAGTAATTTTTTCGTCCACTTTTTTGTGCACATTTACATTACAATTACTTCTAATATCATCACCTGCCACTATTGTCTGTTTTCATTAATAAAGAGTATAACTTGTGTGCTATAACAAAATGGAATATTTGACTGTGTTTATTATTGTAATACAGTATGGTATAGTAGTAGTAGAGAACTTAATGTGCACCGTACAATCTAGATTTTTTGGTAGGCTTGCATTTAAAAACTACTTCAAGTACATATATAGTTCACGCCATTAGACTACAATAATCACTCGAAACTACTGAGTGGTAGCATAAATATGGTTTGCATGCACAATCTGTCTTTTTCTCTGACAGACCATAAAATGAAGTCTTCGTGCATACTTGAGAAATTTTTGCAAAAATAAATGGGAGGTTTCACCATTGCAATCACATTACGGCTGATTGTATTGGCCGAAGCAGGCACAAGCGCATCAAGGCTATCCTACAGAAGACACAGACAGTGGGTCACATACATACTTTTACTCTACAATGCCACACAACATTTTACACATAGCATTCACTCTGTTTATGTTCATCTTGCATTCTATGTAGCCGTTCGATGACCAATTGTTCCATACAACACAATTTATTTCTAATTCTACTAACTAGCAAGGAATATGTGCTAAAGTGTTAGACTAATATGCCATATTAGCCAGAACAAGCTTGTGCAGAAGTACAGGAATATATAAATCAGCAGAATGCACGCTAGAAGCACCTTGAAGTATTTGCATAGACACACAGGGTCAAAGTTGAGAAACACAAACGGGCACAATCTAACTACTGGTTTATTTTATGCGATAGCAATTATATGGACACTCTCGGCTATATTTTGCCGTCAACGACGGCGTCGGTGCCGCTGTCATTCGCCGTAGATGAATACGTATCTATATATATGAAAACACAAGAAAAAAAAATCATCCCAAAAAGTCTCGGGCGAGCAGAATCAAATGTTTGACCTGTGAATTGTGAGTGCGAGGTGTTAGCCACTGAGCCACGAAGAAGCACCTCATTCAAATTTGAACGGCAAGCTATTTATATCTACCACTTACTGCTGGTGATAGGCATCTTAGGGGAACTATCGTGTTTTGAGCATTACCAGCGAGATAACGCAAATGAGCGCATCGCCAGATCGCCATGACGCGGCAGCATGCGCTCTCATCTCCCACACGTACCTTGCCTCTTGAAGAAGGGATGCTCATGCGCGCACTCGCTTATCTCGCGGTGGGGATAGTCATACGTTTTGGGCTTTGATCGAAACAATTCTGTTGTTTTACCGGGAGCACAAAGGTCACTACACTTGTTGCACAGTCTTCCTTTGCGAAAAAGGTGTGCTTTTCAGACACAGCGAAGTAAAGACTGAGACGCTTATTCGCGTTCATCTGTACCAGTGAGCACGTTTCGTGTGTCATTTGTGCGTGAGAAATGCGGGGCACGTTGGGACCTGCCAGCGATTGTTCGCGTGACCTTCCAATGTTTGCCATCACATTCATTGCTTCACCTTTGTGGCAAAGCTGTGACCTTTTTTTTTTATTTTCAATTAAAAACCTTTAGATCTGTTAAATCTAGTCATAAAACCATGAACAGCACCCATGGCACAGCTTGTGATCACAAGCTGCCATTTGTGTTTCTCAACTTTGTCCCCGCGTGCCTGCGCAAATACTTCAAGATGAATATGTTCCAACTAGGCCGAATCATCCAAAAGAATGAGTTGAGGCCTACTGCACTGATGTGTATTTGGCACACTGTAGTGATAGCTGCATTCAATACTAGGGAAAAATTGGAAGGCTCTACTTATCTCGGGCAGTCAAAACAAATTCAGGGGTTCATTTGTTCCACGTCTCTGTTACTAGGCACTTCTGCTATCATAAAAGCATTTTGGTGATATAGATAAGCATAGCGGTGCATACAAAAACCTTAAAGGATATAAGATGGGAGCATCGGCCTGAATTTCGTTAGCTAGCAAACTGTCTACGGATATTTTTTTTCTACAGTTTTTGTTTATAGTGCAGAAGCTGTATGCCACTCCATGTGGTGTTCCCTGGCGTGGTTAGTGGGGGTGCAGTGCAAGAGAGCTGAGCTTTGCACCAAACTTTGTTGTTGAAAGTGACTGAAGCGTGCTAGGGCTTTCCATTTCTGATGGCACTGTGGCTTTGCAAATTGTATTTGACTGTATTATTAGCAAAGCGTCATTTATACACCGCTCTGCACAGCCATAGCGTCCCATGCCCAGTGCAGGAAACTGCATAGACTTTCAAATTTTTTTGTGCAAGGCATGTCTTGACGAGATGTAGTCAAATTGGCAGCAGAATGAGAGTGTGCTGAGGGAGATGCACCTACAGCAGAATGAGAGGTGCGCTGGAGCAGATGAGCCTGGCATTGCAGTCAAGAGATTTCTTGCTCGATACAGTATTTCCGTAAATAGATTATGCATGCAATGGGTGGAAAAGAAGACTCGTGTTCGTTTTTAAGGATAAATTTACATCATTACTTGGTAATGCCATATCTCAAACACTGTTGCAGAGCTCCACGTGGTTGATATTGTCTAGACTTCACATCAATCTCACAGTAATGCAATCTATATGCAATAAGTTTTCTACACGAAAGAAGAATCTGTTTACGTTTGACAACCTTGTATATAGAGCTCAGAAAACAAGTGTTGCGAGTTTCAAGAATAAAATCCGTTTGAAGCATACGTGTACTTCCCAAAAATCTAGAATGAACTAGAATATTAACATATATTTTAGTGCACTATACATCATTCCTACAGTGGTTTAAACATTGTTCAAGGAGCCCCTTATAAACACTAGTGCCAGATTGGCTTCAAAGTTTTATGGTATGAAACTCCAGGTGCATCAGTAATAAAAATCAGAACAAGAATGCAACGCACCAATATGATGATAGCCCTCATATTTCCTAAGTTCAAGTTGCGTTTGCGTTTCGTGCCCCCATTCAAATCAGACACAATCAAACATTTCATATTCTCTTCAAAGCTTGGCTTTTATATATACGTTACAAAAAACCAACTACAATGTATCAACAGAAAAGATCGATAACTAATAGAGAGTAAGAAAGAAAGCATGAGCTACATCTAATGAAAATGAATCCAACCAAGCATTGGCGTAAGCAGTGTTTTCTTCAGGGCAGCTGATGAAGGTTCATCACAACGCTCCCTATGAAGTGAGTGTATGGCAAGACTTTGCATGCCTCCCCCTCAAGTGATTAAAGATATGACTGCGCCCTTGCCCCCCCCCCCCCCCCCATGTGCACGCCTACACAACAAACTAATGGGAATTAACGTATAGTTTCAGGTGTACAAGATATGCAGCCTGTGGTCACAGCCAGTTTGTGGTTACAGCCAGTGTTGCATCTCAGTCAGACTCTGCAAGGTCACGGTCTTCCTGGAGCTCCAGCACATGCTCAATAGGGCATGGACGGCCATCAACACCAACGCGTGCTGGCTGCACAACTCCGACCCTGCAACATGAAACAGAAGCAGGAAACATTTATGTACATAACAGCACTATCGATTCCGCCTACTGCAAGATCACCATCAGCATTGTACAAGATCCCTACAAGAATGTAAAATACACTGCTGCTGTATGAGACTTAACTTTGTCAGAGTTTAGGGTCACAGAAATACATAGATGTGCACACAAAGAGGTGAAAAGTAATCCCGACAGCTCCACTTATTCCCTGACTACTTGAAAAGCAGGGTCACAACAACAACAACAACAACAATAATAATATTACAAAATAATAACAATAATATTGCTACGATACTGAGGGGACGCGATCTTGCCATTTATAACTTTCGCCTAGAACACTGCACAGCACGAGACAACGAGATACAGTTCCTTTTATCTGAATCTACGCACGCCAACTGGGCCCAGCTCTTGACATTATTCTTCCTTTTTGCGAGACTGGTCAACCTACTCTCACCGAAACATTTGCCGCACAGAAGAGGCCCGGCGCATCGCCTGTCTTCGAACTTTCGTCTCCCAGAAACGCTCTAAGAACGATTACGACAGAAGTCACCGGCACGTATTGTTTGAGAAAGGGGATTTAATGTGGCTTTGGACGCCGCTTCCCAAGCGCGACCTCTGCCGAAGTTTCTGGCCAACTACACTGGTCCGTTTGTTGTCTTAGAACGTCTCAGTGATGCCACGTACGTGATATCTCGGCTGTTGTCAACTGGCCGCCGCTCAAGCAAGACCAGCGTCGTTCATGTTGCCCGTTTAAAATGCTATCATCATCGCAACGAAGCCCAACTCGCCCGGTGTGCATCGTCTGCAAAAGGGGAATTGCTACGATACTGAATGAATGCATGGCAGAAGAAGAGAACGAGGTTAGCATGAGCAGTGATCTGCCAGATCCCTGGACTCTCGCATTCATCATCTTTTCTTAATAAAGGCATCTCACCGTAACAATATTAATCATCATAATAATACTAATACTGTATTCACTCAAATCTAGGCCAACCATGTTTCTAAACGACTCCCCGAAAATGCAAAGCCCGCAAAAAAACAATAATAATAATATCCTCGAATGTAGGCCGAACGAAACAATGAAGACAGTAAGAGTACTGAAAGTTGGGTGAGTTAGTACTGATTCATAGCTAAAACTTGCACAACAACAACAACAAAAAAGAAACACGAACGAGAAGCGCTCGTAGTGTCTGTGTCTTCTCATCTGTGTTTTTTTGTTGCGCAAGTTTTAGCTTTGAGTGAAGACAGTGTCAAAGAGAAAAAAATTATTGAACATGAAGAATAAACAAAGCATTAGGTACCTGATGCAAGTAACTCGAGAAACATACAGTCGCTAGTCCTGTTGTGTGTGTTTCTTTGCCGCCGCGCTCTGGGGTGCAACAGTCAAAATAGAATTTGAAGCAATTTCTGGAGGAGCAAAATCTTGCTTCTGGAGCATTAAAATCCAAGTTTGGAGCAGGTTACGGAAAAAAAAGCAAACTTTTTATCACGAAAGACCAAATTTGAAGCAGTATAAAAAAAACAAGGCTTAAATTTAGATGAAAAATATGTACAGAACATCGAACCCACCTAAATTGTGCAGAGTGACCATGAGTACTGCTATTCAAATAAAAGTAGTATTCCGAATCATCCCACCGAGAAAACAATGAAGTCCACATAGCATTTGAGCGACCCATAATTTTTTTTTTACAGACTGTGCGTATTCAAATATGGCTCTGCCAAGCTGGCGACTTTGAAACTCGGGAGCTTCGTAAAAATCGAAGAGTATGGGTAATGAAAAAAAAAAAAAAAAAACTGGCGCATAAGTTTCTTTTCTTATAATAGCAGAAAGGTCATTCACTGCTCCAAATGACTGCCAGTAACTTTTTAGACGTCGGCAATCATACTAGTTCTCACAATATGCAAGCATATACGCATGAGTAATTGAACAAAAATGAGCTGTCTCTCGTGACTATAATGCTAACAGCCCCTTTCAATCATACACTTTTCTGCGGAACACCGGTGTACTGTGGCGAAGGCGACTTAAGCGGCGTTATGCGTGGGTTAAAACAAGACCAAAAAATGTTCAAGCCGCTACAGCTCTCCCCCCCCCCCCCCCCCACTTTCATTTCTTTGAATGCGAAGCAGCTATTAGACTAGCCTGTGTAATGCTGTTCCTCCGTGCACCCTCTTCTGCGCATATTCGAGTCTTGTACTGGCCCAGAGAGAGAGGGTAATGAAAAAGGAAGAGAAAAATAGGGCGCTATTTCTGCTTCTCGTCGCGTAGGCACGGCTTAGCACCTTTAGGGGTGGGGGGAAGGAGAGGTAAAAATGACAGGAAGGAGAGAGGAGAGAAAGAAAAAGTGGAAGGCATGGCCAGAGAACGTCTTGTCATTACAGTCAGTAGAACAAAGCGAAAGCGATCATCTGTAAGGCGCCGAGGTTCGTAGACGGACAGAACTCGAGGAAGGCTCGAGGGTCTGCGTCTTCGAGGGCGCGGGAAAAAGGATGTCTTTTACCCTTGGTGCAGGCAGACAGAGCAGACGATAACGGCTCATCAGAATGCAACGCTCTGTGGCCAGGTCAGTCAGGGCACGAGTGAATAATATGCTCGAGCGTTTCGTCATCGCCACACCTTCACGATGCAGATGATGAAGAGTGACCCGCGAAATACATGCGTGCCGCAGGCCAAGCGCTGCTAATATGCAGGTGAACCAACAACCGCCGCTCGCATCTGTCCAGGCCAGTCTCCGGAAGAGATGAAGGTTTGCCACATGCTACCAGCATGTCAGGGTAAGCCGTTGGTAGAAGCATCCGCAGTCCTTGCTGGGAGTAATTTGACTGGGCTACCGCGTTAGTGACTGCCTTGCCGCAGTGGTGTGCTGCCTTAGTGGCAGTGTCAGCCTCCTCGTTGCCAGCTATCCCAATGTACGAAGTAAGCCAGTGGAGGGACAGCAATGCCACAGTGATGTCTGCTTGGTCTGTTTGAAGCAGCACTTGTAGATCTGGTCAGAAGCCGTACAAAATTGCTGTGGGCAGCTGGGGTAACGTGGCAGCAAGGTGGTCGAATGCTAGGTGAAGTTTAGCTGATTCAGCTACAGTGGAGCTGGCGTTGATTGATTGATTGATTGATTTGTGGGGTTTAACATCCCAAAACCACCATTTGATTATGAGAGACGCCGTAGTGGAGGGCTCCGGAAATTTTGACCACCTGGGGTTCTTTTAACGTGCACCCAAATCTGAGTACACGGGCCTACAACATTTCCGCCTTCATCGAAAATGCAGCCGCCGCAGCCGGGAATCGAACCCGCGACCTGCGGGTAGTGGAGCTGGCGTAGAAGCGAAGCTGGCACCGGACGGTTGTCTTAGTCAATGGTATGACACAGACAGCCTTGGCTGAGCAGGAGCTGTCCCGAATGAACCCGCCTGTGAACACTAAGAGAAGCCCCTTTAGCCTGTCATGAAGTTTCGCCAAGGCTGCCTGGTGGACCTCACACGCCGATGTTCACCTTTTCCCGAGGTTGTCCAGGCCTAACTGTACGTCCAGAGGCTGGTGATGTGGTGGAGGGGGCTCGATAGGACAGGAAGCTTCGGGCACCAGCTCCTAATATGGAGTGCACATCTGTACCGTCCAAGACACTGGTCGGCTAGACGATATTATAGCCCTTAATAGCCAAGTCAACTCCTGGCCACCATTTTGATCTTTAAGGTGAATGTTGAGACACGCCGTTTCTCATTTCGAGTCGCGCGTTGACTGTGTGTGACGTAGCTCAATAGTGCCAAACAGGCGGTGCCGCTTATAAAAGGAAAGTTGTCCTATCCACCAAGTTGTCATTTGAAGTTCAAGCCGGTCGGGACTTTGGAGCTGATGAAAAAAATGTGTGCTACTGGAAGGACCGCAGCGTGGGACAACCCTGAAATTTTGAGTGTGCGCTTTTTTAAGAAGTGTGGAGTATCCAACGCACTTGATGGCATCGAGAATTGCACACTGTTTAAAGACAGCGATAAAGAAGTCAGCGACGAGAGAAACAGCAACAATGTCTGAATGAGAGCGTCATCGAACTAAAAGCAGTGCGAAAAAAAAAAAAAAAAACATTCAAGAAATAGACTCAACAGGGTTAGAGGTTGTATGTTTCTCGAGTTATTTGCATCAGAAACCAGCTGCTTTGATGATGATGATGATGATCTTGATGTTTAATAAACATTTGTGAACCACCTCTTTGTGAACGCTGACTTCGCTGTTTCGTTCAGCTTACATCTGAGGCAAGTTTTTTTTTTTTTTTTTTTTTTCCGGGCTTAGTACTTAAGGGGGTTGCCTTAGAAACTGGGCCGGCTTAGATTTGAGTAAATACGGTATCTCCGCAGGTTTGCATGCCAAGTTGACGACACACAGGGACGCATTCGCTGAGAAAACCGATTCAATTAGTGCCACAAAAAGCGTGGTGCTTTCCTTGACAAAATCGCTCGATCTGGCTTCCCGATGACTCGGGCACGTCACGAATACTGAAAACATACTGAGTAATGTGAAGCTGCATGTGGGTCGCTGCACCCTATGACACCAACACATCATGGACGCTGACAAAATACTGAGAACCGCTGAGCGGCACACGAGTCACTGCATCCTATGACACCGACACATCATCATTCATTCATTCATTCATTTGTGGGGTTTAACGTTCCAAAACCACCATATGATTATGAGAGACGCCGTAGTGGAGGGCTCGGGAAATTTTGACCACCTGGGGTTCTTTAACGTGCACCCAAATCTGAGTACACGGGCCTACAACATTTCTGCCTCCATCGGAAATGCAGCCGCCACAGCCGGGATTTGATCCCGCGACCTGCGGGTCAGCAGCCGAGTACCTTAGCCACTAGACCAACCGACACATCATGGATACTGGCAAAATACTGCAAACTGGGAAGTGTACCTGGGTCACTGCGCGCTATGACACCGACACACCATAGACTTTTGTAATATACTGAGTACTGCAAAGCCGCACATTGTGAGTT